GATCAAGGGAGAATCAGCGGTGTTAATCAATCGTGAGGATGTAAACACGGTGTGCCTTCTTTCCTCGAACACGCAGTATTTCCCCAAAGATGTTATTATATAGTTATTATATAGTATCATATAATATTATATAGTTATTTTATTATAATTATTATAGTAGTATATATAGTATATATATTATAGTTGTTATATTATATCCACTATATATATTTATACTATATACAGGTAACTCTCCTATAACACGCAGATAGGTTCCTAGAAAATGCCGCGTTGTGTGAAACCGTGTTGTATGAGACCCAGAGCAAGTATAAAAAGGGAAGTTACGTTCCGAAAACTTATTAAAAACAATTTTTTTTTTAATTCTACATAAACAACTTAATTTTTATTAAAAATATAAATGTATGTACAACACAAGACAAAAATTTTCTGCAATACTGTATCTTTAAAGACGGCAAGCTTCGTCATGGCTGTAGAAGTACAGTGTTGTACAAAAGTTTTTGCAATTTTTTTATCGTGTTAGAGCGAAACCGTGTTGTAGGAGGATTCCCGCAAATTATGAATCGTGTTATAGTGAAACCGTGTTATAGGATGCCGTGTTGTAAGAGGGCTAACTGTACTATAATGTAATAACTATATGTACATTGCATTATACATATACATATAGTCTCGGTTGTTTTTATGTTTATAAACATTGGCATGCTTTGCCTCCTATCAATTATGCTCCTTTGCTGTCGGATTGAATTATCAGAAGATATCAGTATGGCTTTTGTAGTGACACGGTGCAGTAATCATGAATACACAGATGCGGTGTTTACTTTTGGTGTCTGTAACTGTAATACCATACTTGCAACTGACAACACAAACGGCGCATGCTAAAGATAATGAAACTCTTTTCAAACCGGGAGACAAAGTTGTAGATACCAGTGTAGTATTGCAGATTCAAAGTGCGATACCGTTAGAATCCAATAATTCTTTAATTCTTAACACCACAACTTTTCACCTGTAACGTGTACCTAAATATTCTACAGATAAATATACCACTGAACATAAAATATATCGAAATGTACATATACTACGTATAGAAAATAATTATAAAATGTGGTATAACGGGAATAAGTAGATATACAGGGTGTCCCAACAATGGTAGTACAACCGGGAAGGGGATGATTCTACGCACAGGAAGGAATCGAGAAAAAGAATAAAATATTTTTATTCGAAGCTTCGTTTTCGAGATATCTAAACCAAAGTTAAATGCACGTGTAATCGGTGAATATTCAAAGTCGATATTCTCGAAAACGAAGCTTTGAATAAAAAATTTTTTTTTTCATTTTCCATTCCTTTCTGTGTGTAGAATCCCCTTCCCGATTGTACTACCTTTGCTGGGACACCCTGTATATCATTAAGTTTATGTTTGACTAAAAATTAACGTTAATTTTGTCAGAAATAATTACATATTTTCAACAACTGAAAAAAAAGAAAGAATCAGAAACCAGTCATTTTGTGTAATTTAATAATTCTAGTATTACTAAAAAAGAAAAATATTCAACAGTTCATTATTGATCAGTTGATATTCTGAATGAGTGGATAGAATTATGAGAGTCATTAAAATGACAGGGTATTAATAGTCGTATAAACAAGTCGAGGATTATACAAGTGAAGACGTACCTGATAAAATTATAAATATATATCGTATGCAATAAAAAATCATTTTAATGCGTAAAATGATCTCCTGTTTGAATCATTCGTCTTAACCTCCTTCAATATCCTATAAATATCCGAAAAATATGTATTCCAGACTCTATATACTTGTACAGGAAAACACTGCCTTTATGTAAAAAGTGTGAAAGGAAAATTGATTTTTTATTTATTCAGCGAATGAGGAACATAAACGATGATAAATAAGCTTAAATGACCTTGAGAGACCAGCATATAGATCAATAAATTCTTTTGAATGGACTATATATCAAACTAAACGAGCGTATATAGTTTCATTTAGAAAGCTGAAACAGCGCCATCTGGATAAGACTTGAATTTATAACAAGATATTCCCTGACAAAGAGAATAAGTTCCATTTAGAAACAATTTTTCTGGACAATAAATAACTAGAAAAATAATTACGTAGATAGATAATAACAGGACACCCTGTATAAAAGTTTATGAACTAGTCCTTTAATTAAGTGATGCGGTTAGGGTTCCTTGAGTTTTGTTAGGTCAACCATGAAGTATATATATATACATACACGTATACGTATATTCATCGAACTTTATTTACCCGACTGTCGCGTAAAGCCTCAACTGCGCAGGCGCACGATGGTTTGTCGTCAGTTAGTAAAAAGGTACGGTAATCGCGTCATAAAGTCCATTTCAATAACTTTGAAAATCGTGAAGAAAACTGCAACGTAATCCTTAACTGTTTACGAACTTCTAATTCTCTGTTCGAGGGAAGGAATCATAAACCGTGTCCCACTATGAGTCATTAAAGCGTAAATTAGGTTAGATGGTAGATTCACGGAAAACTCTGGAGCCAATTACTATTGAACATGTCACGAACTAAAATCCTCGAAATTCTGGTCGTATAATAATACAGGTGTATTATTATATGTCTGTTTTACTGCCAGCAATAAGAAACGTGTAACTTTCGAACGTTTATGGGCAGTACGAAGTGAAGAAAAATCAGAATGGAACTTTCACTGCCAGTTGAAGGTAGCAAGGTACTGAAACCCCCATGTGAATTGGCCACGTTTAACTACCTCCTGTCGCTTTTACCACAGTAAATTTATTGGTAATAATGTGGATTTAAAATTATGATATACAAATACGGGTATTTTAAAGAATTGAAAATTCTAATATTATTTTAAAACCTTTTTAGGTTATGTAAGTGACGATTAATAAGTAAAATTTAATTATCGTGTGTAATAAAGAATTCGGCAATAAAGAATGTTCGTGTGTAATAAAGAGATGAAATTTTTTAAACTCTTTAAAGTAGGATATGAAACGATGTTGTATTTTGTTTATGTATTTGTTGATTAATTTCAAATTATTGACAGTTATTTGATACAATTTATATTTTATATTTACATTATTATTATTATTATAGTATATTACAATGAATCTTAATTATAAGATTGTATAAATTATTATTTGTAACAAGCATGTATACATTAAAGTAAAGAATTAACTTAAATAATTAATATATTTTAAACAATGCATCATGTATACATAATCATAATAAATGATTGTCTATAATTAATATCATGTATATTATAGTTGATATAACTTAATATATTACATATATGTTTACTATATTAAGTATTATTTAATATATTTAAATTTAATATAATTTAATACATTATGTACAAATTATATTATGTATTTTATATAATTATAATTATATCATAAATATATTATGATTATAAAAATTGTATATATGTTAACAGATTCAAATTGAGCATGAAAGAGTCGTATTTTACTAAAAATTGAAAAAAATATTAAAAATTAAAACAATATATTATTTTAATATATAAAAAATACTTAAACATTTAAAAACAGATGTTACGTTAAAGCTTTAAAATCGATAAATATTCAACATATTTATCGATCCTTGTTATATAATTTGAAGGTTTGTAATACATTTCGTTGACAAGGAAACAAACATAACCTATAAGCTGTAAGACCTCGAGGAAGGTCATACGTTTTCATATAGGCGTAATATAGTATATCAAAGATCTAAATTATAACCTAGAAAGTAAAGCAAATAAAAAGACATGATGTACAATTTAGTATAATAAATGGCACGAGAATCTTTTTTCTCTATCTTTATTCGTACAACATTATTTGTACAACTATATTATTACAATAAAATAAACTAGAAATGAAGAGTATGTTTTTCTCTTTCATTATGTAAACGTATTAAATAAAATTATTTTTGTTAAAGATATATTTATGGTGTAAAACGTTATCATCTGTCATGGTTCATTAATATTTACGAATAAGAATAACGTCACAATTTCATACGTGATATGTGGCGTCATATATTGATGACGTCATATGCAATGGGTTATAGGTATATCGATTTACTATACCTAAGGGGCTACTTTTGAAAGCCGCACGCAGGGATGAATGAACACTGCGGGTCATTCTAATGGACTATAGAATGACGTCATAAAAATATATATTTATTACAAAATCCTTACAAAGCTTGTTGTATGAAACAATGACGAAATGACGTTGTACGGAATAATACAATGTGGTATTTGTTCCGTGCATCTATAAACCATAATATACTCAAATAAGCCTAAAATTAAAAATTTTATGATACGAGAAAAGGGGTTAGTCAAGAAACTGTAATTTTATTATAGACATTAATTAAATATGCGAAATATTATACCATAAATTGTTCTAATCACGTTTAACGCTTAATTAACTGTAATATTTTTAATACTATATAGTATCAGTAATATTTATTTTAGAATTTTTTAGTATTATTTACTGTTATTAATACATTATAATATTATTTAGTATTTTCACTATTATTTATTATTATTAGTGCGTTTTAATATTATTTAGTATTTTTTAGTATTCAACTTTATATCATGTCAAATAAAATGGCACTTACATTCCAAAATATTTGTAAAAATACTCGAGCTGTTATTATTAAAATTGGGAAATAAACTTTATAAATCTAATTTTGACATTAAAAAAGAAAATTTTTACAGTATACATAATTTTCACATTGGAATATTTTCACAGATTTTCTTTGTACATGTGTAAATAAATATTAACGATACAAAACCCAAGATGATACAAAAAGCACGTTAAAAGCTCCTTAATCATAACACGACCATATCGTAAACGAAAAACAAATTTATTTTCGAATCTCCGCGATAATGAGCATAATTATAAAAGCAATGGCGCTTTTTAGATATCGTTAGACTGTTACACCCATACGATTAGATATTTCAGATGTACTCGTAATAAAGATTAATTTTCTGTTTATGCAGATCCTGCTGTCGACAACATGTACATGATATGCGGCGTACTACTCGCTTTGGTGTTAGTCGGCGTCATCATCGTTCTTCTGGCTGTAACGATCAGGTAATAAAATACATGACACTGTTAACCCTTTGCACTCGGCGGCTTTTTACAGAAAAATAGTAATTCGAAGACTTCCTGCCATAAATTCGACAATATTTTTCAAACGGTAAATAAGAAATCGTATGCAAATTAGCACGTAGAATTATTTTACTTCGACATTTCAAGGATCGTTGGGTAATTTTAAATTCGATATATTTGTGGCGAGCATAGTTCTCACTCTCGCCAATAGATGGACTCCACCTTCAAGGAGGTTCGGGGACTTTCTTGCAAGTCCTGGGTGAACCCTTTGCTTAGTATATATACAACTTCCCGACATTCCAATAGTGTTCAATAGTGTTTAAAGCAGAGCCTGATATAGGTAGTCTTACTGTGACGAGTCCAATTATCATCAGGTCCTAGGACGAAAACGTATCCCCTCCCTTTCCCTCTCGTTCCTTATAGCAGCACTGCACACCAAGCATTACCAACCTAACCTAACCATGGAACGAAAACCCCCACATATTATAACCCTCAGAGCAGTCTCCTCGCTCAACGGTAACAGGAGGTCTCTCGAGACCCCCCACACTGATATTCCACTAATCATGCTCGACACCCCCCACCCTTATTCCACTACTCCCACCACTCCTACGCTCAAATTTTCGAGCTCCAAGCGTCAGCACTAACGCATGCAGCTTCGTCACAGTACATAAAAGAAAGCACCGTTTACCGTTTCGCGAGGGTTAATTAACATCGATATTTAGAATCTGATTAAATGGCAACCGAGAGTCGCATTCTCCAAGAGTGCAAAGGGTTAAAAAAGAAAAAAAAGAATAGTTAATACTTTATAATAAAAACACGAAAATACTCTGAATTTCTTAAAGTGTATTATCGGTACCGAATATAAAATCTAACAAAATAAAAACTTAGATATCTCTTGTTATCTATACATATATTCGAAATCATTTAACACTATGGATATTTCAGAGTATTTTATATCCGAGACAACAACTAACTTCACTTTCTCAAGCAGCACCCGTAAGTCTTCGATGCGAGAAATAGATTACGAATACGAATAGTGATACAGCAGCGTTGGAGAGCTTCTTATTTCGAGATACATAAAACACGGAAAGAGATAAAAAGGTTAACGAACGTTGTGATAAATCAGTTGAACGAGTACACAAAAGAATGTAGAGAGGAAGAACGTAGCGCGGAATATTAAAAATAGAAAGTACACAATTGGATGGAGTTCAACAGTCCTTTTAAGCATTAATCGCGTTTCATTGAACATGCATCAACAAATAGCGTGCATTCATCTACTAAAGCTCTGTCCAATTAAGGTCATCTCTCTGTTTCTCTCCCCCCTCTCTGTCTCGTGTGCGCGCGCGTGTTAACCATGAAGTAACAATGGCAGTTAGTAACGCCATCGAATGCAGACACGTGCGTAAACTACGTCGTAGTAGCGGTGTAAAATTATCGGGAAAAATGCAATGCCATTAATTCGTATGGTATACGAAGCTGTGATACGCGAACGAGATGTAATTAAGTAACGTAATTAAAACTTATTAAGTGTTAATGATGGAGGAAATGAATGAATAATCGAACGGGTAATCCACCTTAGAAATGAAATGTGTATAAACGTTTTCTTGATTTCATGATAAAAGCGAATGAAATCAGTTCCTGTGCTACTAAATGCAGATATATTTTCTATTCCCAGAACGATTTGTTTGTAATGGTGTCTATTGACGTGGCTTTTCTTATCGGTTGTTCGTATAGCAGGAAATGAAGTTTTAGCAGAGAAAATTATTATTCTTTTACAAGAAATTTCTAATTCAGAGATTTTCGAAAAATTCCATAGACGATATTATACTCATGTCGTAGTATTACATTGTTATTTTATTATTATATTATATTATACTTATAATTGTAAATATTATATTTGTTATAAGGTATTCATTACCATATTATAATTCTTTATCCTTTTATTAATTCGTGTAATTGCAGAATACAAGAATTATACTTAAATTTTACTTGAAAAAGGAAAATGTGAGTCAGAAAGACATTTGTAGAAGAAATCTAGAGTAACGAGTAATTAAGAGTACTCGGTATATTTCATAGTTTATTCTTTGTATGATGCATCACTGCTTTTCATTCGAGAATCTTACTCATTCGACTTAACATCTTTACGTTACAAACAATGTTGAAACACTTAGATTATACGCGACTTAACCCACTTCGCGTATGATTAATTGTTTAGATCGGAACGTGTAGATTCAGTAAAAGCCTAACGACAATCATCTTGCGTTGCACTAGCGGCCGCAAGTAAAACGTGCTATATTTGAAATATTTGAAAATATTAAGAGTAATTAATTTTCACAACAGTGTAAAATTTTCTTCGCTTTTAAATCCAAGATAGCTCAATTTCCGGTGAATCATATGTGCATTATTGTATCAGCAAGCAACATATCATCGTTTTTTCATATTCTTGGAATTAGGTTAGGAAACATCGATTAAAAGATATCATTGACCCTTTCGTTACGGTACCCTAGACACTCTATAGTATATTTAAGTAGTCATTACTCAAAAATATACTCATGGACGTTTAAGTACTTGTATAATTAATTATAATGTGATACAGCTAGTACGTGAGCTAATCCAAAGCCTATCGAATTTAAAAATTACGTATAGTGTGTTATGCTACAATTAATGTACTTCTACAGAGTGGTACGTGATCTGATCATATATTAATCAAATGGTATTCGAAAAAAAAGATTGGAACTACTAATATAATACATATAATATACTGTACAATAATATTATATTATTATATATATTTTAGTCGTAATTATATATGTATATTATATGTACTAGATGATTTTGTATATATATTAATACCATGTCATATACACATATAATATTATAAATAATATTAGTAAATAATATAATATTAATTTATTGTATATAGTATTATATTATTATATACATAATATACATAAAAGTAAAATAATTCTGTTACAGAAAGTTTATACA